GTTGATAATACAATATCATAGAGCAAAAACTGTGGAGAAGAAATTTGATCTTTGGTGTTTCTTTTAATGGCTTTAGCATGATTGGTCTTCTGTACACCATTACATTTTATAATAAAATATGTTTAGACATTATAAATAGTTTCCATTCTTGTACACTGGTAGGTGAATAGTTCAACAGTCCTGAATCTTTTCTTGTACACACTCATGTCTCGTCTCGTGAGAGCTCAGGTTCCACGCTGTATGTCGGTCTGGACATACAGTAAAGCTATTTGCTGAAATAGCATCAGGGTAGAGTTCCAGTCATATTTTCCATGGTGTTACGGTTATAGAGCACGATAAAGACCACCAACAAGACTCCTGGTGGTACCACAAGAGACTAAATATAAGAGGTTTAACAGCATAGACTGCTGGTCTGAGTAAAATAAGTCTACAGATGAGGCAATCATAGAGGAATCTCACACTGCCCCAGCATGAACTGGGAGTAGGTTGACGATTCTGTGGGAAGGTTGAGTATATTTCAGCATCCTGCCCTAAGGATGTCAGCGCACAAACCTGTCCAGGCTTGGAAGACAAGCAAAGCATTAAAGTTCACAGAATATGAATATGACACGTGTAATAAGCAAAAACAGCGGGGCATTCAATCTCAAATTAGCTACTTCTTAAAGCCCATCAATGCCACAGTTGTTTCACATCCATTCACTGTCATCAGTAAATGTTTGTGATTCACTCATATTACAAGCGCATTGAATATTGTGTTTCTCTCCAAAGCAATCTTGTCTGAGGAGCAATTGTTGCGGTTGAGTATTTCTTTAACTCTGCCGTAGGGAACCATCGACGAATGTATCTCTTGACAGCCGAGTGGTTTTGCATCGGTTAATGTTGTATTAGATATAGTGCCAAGAAGGGATGTGGGTTTTGGCATTGAAAGAGATGCTCTTTACAAGAACAAAATACTGTGACATTTCAGCCGTTACCAGTAATGAGTATGTGTCTGAATTAGGTGGCATAATTTAAATTCCCAAGCAAATGCTGACACAAAAGAGATGCAGGTATATTGCCAATTCTCATTAAAAAAAGGATTCCAGCTTGCACCTTTATTTAACCTTTAAGAAATAGTAAAAAAATATATATATATATATAGACTTGTAAATGTAGTGAGTGCCTACCTGAGCTCTGCAGTGTATTCTGGTACACAGCGCTTTGTCCTGCCTATGAAGACAAAATAAGAATAGTCAGTTAAATTCTTTCACTTAAAGTACTATGGACATATGTTTTTTTGGCCATGTACCATGGTATTCTTTGAAATACCTTGAAGAAACAGTTAAATGCCACAGTAAATGAATAGGTAAGCATTTGGTATTGGTATTTTGTTCCCTCTCGCCTACAGTCACTGAGTGGTGCCTTGTTGTTCCTTCACAATGAGGCATGAAGTCACCTTCCAGCACCTTCACCCTCTCTGTTCCTCTCTGATGGAATGAGCTGCTGACACTATCACAACTTTCAAGAAGTTCTCTCTGAACTTTCTCTACTTTCCTCTAGCTTGTTTCCAAATTTAGCATTCTAATGAACATGCTTATGCTCTTCAATTATATGTGGATAAAAGCATCTGCTAAATGCTTGAATGTAAATGATGTATCATACATATTTAAGAAAGTACTAAGTTATTAAAATCTGATGCTATCACTGTACTTTGATACTTTTTGTAAAGGTATGACAACTAGGCATGAATTATGACTTAAAAAAGGTTATTTTAATAGAATGCAAGCCTTATTTTTAGTTTATACCATTTGTTTTGTTTTGATCCCAGTAACCAGCTGCAAACCTTAGTCAGAGGTTTTCTCCCTGGAGGAAGGTTGTCAAAGGTATCCGTTGCTTTACGACGAGGAAACGTCACATAAAGACATGAGTTAATAGTGCAGAGCAGCTTTGCTTTAGCAGTACTTCAACTGAGATCAAAGAACACTTTCATGACCATCAAGCTATTACGTGACTGCTACTGTGTGATCTGGGTGTGATGAAGGGAACGAGCAGCATCATGCTTTTCTCTCATTCCGACTACACTGCAAGCGTCTCGTCCCATCGTTCACTTGTAATGTAGTCAGGATGAGAGTTAAGTGTCATGCTTGTTCCCATCAACAGGGATTAAGTATGAGATACAAAACAAGAGACTCAGACTTAAGTAACAAAGACAAAAAAAAAAACATCAAGCACATGTTAACTGTCCTATTGTCCTAATAAACTACACCCCCCTGTGCTCCTTGTTTTTTGTTCAACAGATCTAACCACATTCTCAAGACAAAACACTACATATAACTAAAAGCATGTTTTTATTTGAGATATTCTTGACAATATTACAAAGCCTGACTCCAATACCAAAATCCGAAATGGTTCGAAGACAATTGGGTTAAGCTTTGGTTTTCAGATGTATTTCAGTAGGTATATTTTTCCAAGGTAGTTAGGGAGTGTTATATTATAGTTCTGTTTATTTTATTAATATATCCCTGCTGAAACATCTTAAACCAGCCTGATCTGTTGGCCACTTTCCAGTCAGCTCATCAGGCTAGGAGAGCTACAGAACAGCTGAAGATCATTTTAAACCAGCCAAAACCAGAAAACCAACTTAGGCTGGTTTAATGTTTTTTTTTTTTTTTTCAATAAAA